CGCGTGCGGCAGCGAGACCAACGAAGTCTTTCTCTATCGAAAAGATTTACCCATGCCCATCACATCCATCAGCTTCGCGCAAGAGCGTGCGCCCGAAGAGAGAGGGTTTATCAGCGCGTGCACGTGGAAGAGCGACGACTCTGTGCTCATCGGCGCCAACTCAAACGGCGTCGTTCGCGTGTTTCACGTGTAGGAAAAGAATATTAATAGCGATACGGTACCATAGTAGACTCTTAAAAGCTCGCTTGAATTAGATCATTACAGCGATGCCGGGTCGTTTTCGCGCGCATCTCGTACGCTTTGGTACAACATCGTAAGGTACAGGGAGTTTGTGCGGATGCAGAGTTCAGTCTTGATCGCTTCGGAGCGCTTCGCTCCCGGGCGCTTCCTCGCCACTAGGCGTGCGCGTGCGCGTTTCGGTACACCACGAATTCTTCATCGGCAACCTTTATCTTCGATCCCGCGTGAATCTTTTGTCTCTTACCCTTCACGAGCTTCTTCCCGTCCACCAGAGCCGTTCCCGTGAGCGACTGCACGACCAGCTCGTCCGCCCGACTGGCGTCGACGTCGAATCGCAACTTTTCCTTCTCAAACTCCAGCGTCCCCTCGTTCGTGGACACCAGCGCGTTGACGTCGATGGGCACCGCGAGGCACGAATTCATGTTCGCGCTCTTCAAGCGATCGCCGTCGTCGTCCGAGCGCGCGTGCGAGCACCCTGGTCGGTCGAGATAGAAATTCGTCGACGCCGCGATGGATCGTCGGCGGTGGCGTCCATCGGGACGAATCGTCGCGCCGGGGCGAAGCGCGACGCGCGCGGCGGCGCGCGAGGCGAACATGTCGATGGAGACGATTTTTATTCGCCGCGTCGCGGGCTCGAGCGCGGCTCGACGGGCGTCGCGCGGTGACGCGCGCGCAAGGCGCGGGTGATTATGTGGCGAGAAGGCTGAGTCAGCACATGTGAGATTTTTACCGCGCTTTTTGGAGCGGACGAGCGTCTACTCTGGGACGACGTCGAGCGTTCGGTCGAACTCGGCGACGGCGGCGAGGATATCGAGAGCGAGCGCGTCGTCGTCGAGCGCGCCGGTGGGGTTGGCGACGCACTGGACGTCGACGACGGCTCCAGAACGGGCTTCGTCCTCGCGCGAGTCCGAGGTGCGCGAGGTGACGGAACCGACCTCGTCCTCTATGGCATCCGACGCGCCGTTGAGGTTCGTCTTACGGCGGTCCTTGCGCTTATTCATCAAGTGTTTGTCGTAGAGACTGTCGTAGTACTCGAGGAGACCTTCGGCGACGGCGCTAAAGTCGCCGCGCTCGAGCTTGGCTTGGATGGCGGCGACGCGGTCGCCTCCGAGTCTCTTTCCGAGCTTTTCCACACTCTCGCGCATCGTCGGCAACCACTCAGGGTTCGAACGAAGCTCAGGTGTGGCGTAATCCTGGACCAGGGTGTGTAGACGAATCGATCGCGACGCCAACATGCGAAGCACAAGCGGGGCGTTTCGCATGCGCTCAAACAGGAGCGGATCCACCGAGCACCTACCGACGTGCGGACCTTCGTCCTCGATGAACACCCACTTGTTCGGATCCAGCGAGTGCCACTTGCACGCGACGAGGTTGGAGTAGTGCTCCGAAGTGGGCTGCGGTTCGCGCCCGACCCAACCGAACGCGCTCCCGGCGTGGTTCGCCAGTCCCTCGAGGTCGATAATTTGTTCGCCTCTCTTCTGTAGCGCCAACAGCGCTCGAGTCTTCCCGACGCCGGTGCGACCACCGATGACGCACACGCGCGGGGCGGGAACGCCCCCGAACGGTCCGCACCGCTCGAGCGCCCACTTACGAAACCCTTTGTATCCGCCCTCGATCACGCGTATGCGCTTCCCCGGCAAACGCTCCTTGAGCAACCATCCAACGCACGAGCTCCGCATCCCGCCTCGAAAGCACATCACGTACACATCATCACACCCCTCACCGTCGTCGATCGCCCTCGTGGACGCGCACGCCGCCTCCGCGGCGCGCACGATGTCCCCTAACCTCGGCGCCGCGCACTTCATCCCCAGCACCAGCGCCTCCCCTCGCCCAACCTTCTTATACACCGTCCCCACCGCCGCCCGTTCGTCGTCCAGGAACAACGGCGCGTTCACCGCCCCCGGCACGTGTCCCTTCCCGTACTCACCCGGCGATCGCACATCGATCAGCGTCGTCGAACGTCGCTCTACCAACGCGTCCGCCAGCGCCCCGCTCCCCGTCCGCCAGCGCGTCCCGCTCGCCGTCGCCGCGCGCGCGAACGCCTCCATCGTCGCCGCGTTCCTCGTCGACGGGTCCATGATCGCCTCGAACCCAGCGCGCGCGCGCGCGCAGTCGGGAGACCCGTCGTCGTCCGTCATGTCCCCGCCGCCGCCTCGACCAATTCCACCGTCGATCGACGCGCGCGCGTTCGATTCGCCCGCGCGTCCGCCTCGCGCGCCGCGCCCGCGTCGAGCGACGATGTGCGGGTCACTCCTCGCGCGCGCGCGTCGATCGTCCCGTCGTCGCGCCCGCGCGCGTCGATGGCGTGATTCGAGCGATGGGCGATGTGGTCGCGAGTGCATCAACCGTCGTCACGCCCGCACACGGCGACGCGACGACGCGACGACGGGCGCGTGGACGGGAGAACGTCCACGGCGCGCGCTGTTCGCCATGGACGTCGACGGCGAGACGGTGGATCGGGAGAGATACGACGAGAAGCGCGAGATCTCGGTGTTCGCGGCCGAGGACGCCGCGGACGAGCTGATCGCCGGACGCGCGCGACGGGACGGTGAGGTGTTCATCGGATCGATCTCTCTGGAGGCGACGGAGGATGCGGTGCGACGGGCGCTGAAGGCGTGCGGGGCGGAGACGGGGGCGGTTGGATTTGAGATGATGACGGATCGCGCGACTGGGAAGCACCGAGGATACGCGTTCGCGCGATACGGTGACCCGGAGAGCGCGGCGAAGGCGATCGAGACGATCGAGAGCGCGAGGGTGGAGATTGGTGGACAGAAGATCAGGGCGAGCGTGAAGCCGAATAAGACGCGGGTGTTCGTGGGAGGGATTCGAAAGGATGCGACCCGGGCGGAGTGCGTGGAGGCGCTGCGCGCTCGCGGCGCGGGTTTGGAGTTCTTTGAGCTCGCAAGACCGAAGAAGAAGAAGGAAGGCGTGGAGCAGACCGATGAGAACGGTGGTCACGGATGGGCGACGTATTACAACGAAGCTTGCGCCGAGCGTTTCATGAAGAACATGCGCGAGGCGGAGGACAAGTTGCCCATCGCGAATGAAAGCGATACCAGAGGCATGACGACGAGCTGGGCCACCGTCAAAGCGTCGGCCGCTAAGGTTCAGGGGATCCGTACGCTGCACGTTCGCGACCTGAACTCGACGAACGCGACGGAAGAGGCCATGCGCGAGTGTTTTGGTCGTTTCGGCGACATCGAAGACGTTCAGTTGAGAACAGACAGGGAACCGCACTTCGCCTGGGTGACGTTCGCGAACCCGAACGACGCCGAGAAAGCGTTGGGTGAGTGCGAACCCGTCCCGGACGCGCCCGAAGGGAGAAAGGGTGGCTCGTTCATCTCAAGCGTCGACGGCGCCACTTTGAACATCGCACCCGCGAAGGGTGGCGGACCCAAACAAAAGGGCGCACCCGAGTCTGGAAGGGGAGGTCCCTCTCGCGGTGGCCGCGATGACTGGTCCAAGTATAGAACCGGCGGTATCGGTGGAAAGTACGGCGGCGGTCTCGCGCCGCGAGGGTCGTGGTCTGGCCGCACGCCGGCGAATAACACGATGCCCGTTATTTTACCCACAGGACAAGTCGCATACGCAATGATGCCGAACCGCGGCGGCGGACGGGGCGGACGCGGTGGCGGTCGACGCGATAACAGGCATCGACCGTACTAACTGTGAGCAACCGCGGGAACAAGGCGGGAACACGACACAATACATACTACCTGAGCTATAATTCCAACGTAGAAATCTCAACCAAACTAAACACTAAACTACGAATCCACCTTCTTCGCATACGACGCGAACGGGGTCCCGCTCGCGCGCTTCATACACTCGTCTAACTCTTTACTAAACATTTCTTCGCACGTTCGTCTCACGAGCTCTTCGCCCTCGTTCGGTAACTCTTTGAATAACGCATCCGCGGATGCGAGCAAGATACCCTTTTCTCGCATTCGAAGCAGAACCGCAAATCTCTTACGCTTTTTCGGTAGCTCATCCGAAGAGGTGTTGAAACGTGCGATGTATGAGTTGTCCTCACCCAGGGTCGTCCCGTAACCGTCGAGAGATGTTATCAGCGACTTGAGTAACACCGCCTTTGTCCGAGCATCGTTCTTCGCGCTCACCGAGGCGCCGCTCACCGACAGAGCTACCGACGTGTCGTCGTCCAACTCCGATTCGTCCATGGCGATTATTCGTGCCGCTGCGAGTAAATCATAATCCAGACCTCGCACCTTCCACTCGAAATTCCTCTTGGTCGGATCGAGACCGTGGCGGCGTAACAGTGCCTCCTTCCGCTCGCGAAGGTTGTCACGTTGGCTCAGCTGCATCGTCACCTCGACGCACTCCGCTGGGTTCGCCTCCGGGATGAATCCGTACTGTAACAGGAAATATTGCGATGGCTTCGTGTCGTAGTTGAACCTCAGCTCGGTGTTCCTCTTGAATGCACTCCCGGCGTAAATTTTAACCGCGTTCGCCTTGGCATCCCACCTCGGGAGTAACTTCCCAGACGGCGCGTGATTCGCCATGTCCAGTATCGGGACGAGCATACGAATCACCGGTGCGCTCGTACTGTCCGTCTTCAGATCTATCGCGCGCGACCACACGACAAACCTGGCCCAGGTAAACTTTTCAAAAGTATAGTGCGCCGCGTGTTCGCCGCCGAACGCCTCGGGGAAGTCAACCCCGAGTCCCGCGAAATCCAGCGCGTCGTACTCCTCGCGCCAGCTCTTCTTAATCGCTCTCGCGAACGCCACCACGTTCGATCCCTGGAGCTCTCGCAGTTCATCCTCGTCCCACCCCACCGCGGCGTCCGTCTCGCTCGGGAGCAACCGAAGCCACGGCCAAAACGCGCTCCGCTCTCCCAACCCAAACGCCTCTCTCAACACGTGCGCGGCTAAAATACCATCCAACGACGCCCCCGGACGCGCGCTCAACCCTCTCCACAGCGTCGCGTCCGCTCGCGCGCTCGACGTGCTCACGCACTTCTCCAGCGGAACCGTCGCCAGGAGCTCGCCGCGCGTCACGTCCCTCGTCGTCGCCACCCCCCGTCCCGCGCCCTCCGTCGTGGCGACGACGCGTATCGCGCTCGAGATCTCCCCCGCGCGTCCGAGACCTTCGCTCGCGGACGTCCACCGCTCGAGCGCGCGCGTGGCCTCGCTCGACGTGAACGCGAATGTGCCTGTCGTCACCGACGCACCGCGCGCGAAGACGACCGCGCGCGAGACGAGCGCGACGCACGCGCACGCGCGCGCGCGAAGACGACGCGGGCGCGAGCGCGGCATCGCGTCGACGCGCGCGGTCGTCTTCGCGCGCGTCGAGCGATGGCCGATGGACGGATCGACCGGTCGGGGGGTCTGCGCCGAGTCGTGACTCGTGACGTCGTGACATGTCCCACTCCCGGGTGTTGCAGTGGTGCACGAACAGCCACACTCGGGCGGACGCCGCATGCATGAGTCGTGACTCAAGAAGAGTCACCAGGACGCGCGCCCGTCCAATGCTCGCCCCCGCGCGCGCGCGTCGGCATCACACGCCGCCGCGCGTCGCTTCGTTCGCTCGCCCGAACACCGCGTCGAACGCACGTAAATTACATCAACGCATCGTCCCAATCGTCACGCGGCACACATGTTCGCGCAGACCGCCAAGACGGCGATCGCCCTCAAGACGACCACCGCGCGATCGACGCGCGCGAGCGCGCGATCGACGCGCTCGGTCGCGGTGCGCGCCGCGAGCGACCGCGAGCTGTGGTACCCGGGCGCGGTGGCGCCGGAATACTTGAACGGCTCCATGGCTGGTGATTACGGTGCGTGCGGCGCGCGACGGGCGAGGTGGTGCTCGAGGACAGAGGCGCGACGCCGTATCTTGGATACGATCCATTCGATACGGTTGATTTTTCGCGGGAGGATGGCGACGCTTTTTCGTCCTCGAGCGCGCGAAACGGCGGCGAGAGGGTGAGATGATGAGAGAATAGAGTGACTGACGAACGCGCGTGGTTGTGCGTCTCGTAGGTTTCGACCCGCTTCGCCTCGGCGCGAACGTGGAGACGCTTCCGTACCTGCAAGAGGCGGAGCTCATGAATGGCCGATGGGCGATGGCTGCGACGGCGGGCATCTTGTTCACCGATGCCACGGGCCTGCCGAAGTGGTGGGAAGCCGGCGCTGCGGACTACGGCTATGACTTCCAAACGCTCGTCGCGTTCCAAGTCGTCGTCATGGGTGTCCTCGAGGCGTTCCGCGTCCGCGGTCTCATGAAGACGGGCGAATCTGGCGTGTTGAACATGTTCCCGTTCGACCCGGCTGGACTCGATGCTCCGGATAAGCGGGTGAAGGAAGTGAAGAACGGCCGCCTCGCCATGGTGGCGTTCCTTGGCATGGTTTCGTCCTACGCGGTCACCGGCCTCTCCCCGTTGGAGGCTTTGGAGGCGCACATGGCCAACCCGCAAGCCGTGAACTTGTTCACCTCCGCCGTCGGTGGCGAATCCGTCGCCTTCATCGCCTTCTTGTCCTGCGCGCCGACCTTCTTGCTCGCGCAAAAGACTCTCGGCGATGGTAAGGAAGAATTCCGCCCGATCCCGTGGTAGACGGCGTCTCGGTCGTGTCTAAACCTTCCCTAGTTTGTAATGAACAGGTCACCGCCTGAGAACGCGCCCCCGAACAAACGCGACGCGCAGTGACTTGAGCCAGAGTCGTAACTCTGACACCGCGATACGAAAAACGACTGTTATATACCATTACAAGAAATTATCACCGATCGTCGCGCGCGCGCGTCAACGCGAATACGAGAAATCAAACGCGCGCGGTTCGCCCGGAAACACCCGCGGCGTCCTTTCCGCGCGCGTCTTCACCGACTCGTATTTACGTCTCACGTCGCCCCGTCAGCATCATAGCGATAGAAAATACCTCTCTCACTTCCCCCTGATCGACCGTATGCCGTCGAACACGGCGTCGATCCTCGGCAACGTCTTACTCGCCAGCTTACTCGTCACCAGTTTCCCGTCAAAGTACACCTCGAACGCCCCGGTGTTCAAGCAGTTCGTCGCGATCATGTTCGACACCCAAAACGCGACGAGCGCCGAGTGCATCTTATTCTCCGACATCGACCGCACGATCGAAGGCATCTCCATCCCCGCCCACTCGAACGCCGCCGCGCCGACCAAAATGAGGACAAACGCGTACGCCCGCGCGTACTCCGTGAACCGCGCGATCGCGCTGCCCATCGCGCTCGCCGGCCAGTGTCCTCCAATCACGGGCACTCCCACGAATTCGGACTCGAGCGCTCGTTTCAGCTGCTCGAATCCGCCTCGGTACGATCACGACGTGCAGAACCCGATGGCGACTTTCCCGCTCTCGCTCGCTCGCACGAACGCCTCGCTCGGCGACGCCCCGCGCAGGGCGTTCGCGTACGTTCGCCACCCGTCCGCGACCGCGCAGCTCACGAGCGCGACCGCGGCGGCGCGCAGGAAGAGCGCGCGATCCGCTCGCGAGGTCATGACGCCGCCGCGCACTGACGCCATCCGCCGACGCCTCGCGCTCGCCGCGCGCGATGTCGCGCTCGAGCGCGGCGGTGATGACGCCCGAGAGCGCGGCGGCGGCGCTGGCGTGGCGACGACACGCCGAGAGCGCGCACGCGCTCGATGCGGCGACGACGTTGGCGCGTTTGGGCGTCCTGGATGTGCGAAACGGACTGGACGCGAACGACGTGACGCGCCGACGAGAGGCGTGCGGGGCGAACGCGCTGCCGGAAGCGCCGGGACAGTCGTTCGCGTCGTTGGTGCTGAAGCAGTTCGATGACGCGATGGTGAAGGTGTTGATGGCGGCGGCGTGCGTGTCGCTCGGCTTGGCGCTGTGGGACGGCGAACGAGGAACGAACGCGTGGCTCGAACCGGGGGTGATCGTCGCCATCTTAATCGCGAACGCGAGCGTGGGGGTGGCGACGGAGCGGAACGCAGAAAGGGCGATCGAGGAATTGAGAAAGTACGAGGCGGAGGTGGCGACGTGCGTGCGGGACGGGGCGCGACGAGCGGTGAACGCGGAGGAGCTCGTCCCGGGCGACGTCGTGGAGATCGCGACTGGGGAGAAGGTGCCGGCGGACTGTCGAATCGTGAAGATACACTCGAATGTATTACGGTGCGATCAGGCGCTGTTGACGGGGGAGAGCGGGAGTGTGGCGAAGACGGAGCGGGCGGTGTCGATGGGGGGTGAGTGCGTTTTGCAGGATAAGACGTGCATGGTGTACAGCGGGACCACGGTCACGGTGGGGAAGGCCACGTGCGTGGTCGTCGGGACCGGGAGTAACACCGCGATCGGTAAGATTCAGCACACTCTGGAGGAGACGGAGGAGGAGCTGACGCCGTTGAAGAAGAAATTGGACGAGCTCGGAAACTTGCTTGGAAAGATCATCGCCGTCATCTGCATCTTGGTGTGGGTGGTAAACATCGGACACTTTGCCGATAAGGCGCACGGCGGGTTCATTCGAGGGGCGGTGTATTACTTCAAGATCGCCGTCGCCCTGGCGGTGGCGGCGATTCCGGAGGGTTTGCCTGCAGTCGTCACCACGTGTCTCGCGTTGGGCACGCGCCGCATGGCAAAGAAGAACGCTTTGGTTCGAACGCTACCGAGCGTGGAGACCCTCGGGTGCACGTCGGTGATATGTACCGATAAAACGGGCACTCTGACGTGCAACGTCATGACGGTCATGCGAATGTGTGTCGTAGAAAATCCTGGCACGGCAGAGGTGAGCAGTTTCGCCATTCGAGGCGAGGCGTTTGCACAACGAGGAGAAGTTCTAGACTCGCGCGGATTGGTCGTGAACGAGCCAGCCAGCGCTGCGGCGATCGCTCACATCGCGATTTGTAGCTCTCTGTGCAACGAATCGTCGCTGAGATACGACAAGAAGGATGGGAATTTCCAGAAGATTGGCGAAGCGACTGAGATTGCGCTCCGGGTGCTCACCGAGAAAATCGGTCTTCCATCGAGGGTAGAGGGCGAAATGAGGGATGGGGAGAACGACATGCGGTGTACTGATCACTGGGAGAGAGCGTACACGAAGCTCGCGACGGCTGAGTTCACGAGCGAGCGGAAGCGTATGTCGACTCTGTGCTCTGGTCCAAACGGCGAAAGCGTTCTCTTCGTCAAGGGAGCGCCTGAAAATATCCTAGCGATCTGCACGTCAGTTTTGTCAAATCGAAACGGTCGCGTGGAGAGGATGTCTGATGGTGTCAGGGAGGTGATGTTGGCACAAATTAATAGTTATGCCGACGACGCTCTTCGCGTATTAGCCCTGGCAATGCGTCCGGTTCGTCGTGGACAGGAAACGTGCTCTGAGGACGACGAAAGTGACCTCACGTTCATCGGCATCGTCGGTATGATCGATCCTCCTCGACCAGAGGTCAAATATTCGTTACAGACGTGCAAGGACTCCGGCATTCGCGTCATCATGGTCACTGGCGACAACAAACATACCGCCGAGGCGATTGCGTCTCAAATCGGACTCAATGACGCAATCGACCCGTTCACCGGTGATGCCGCACCGAACGGCTTCAAGGGGCGCTCGTTCACGGGCGCAGAGTTCGAGGCGATGAGTGTTGAGCAGAGAGAGGAGGCCGCACGAGTGATGTGCGTGTTCTCGCGGGTCGAACCAACGCAGAAGAGTAAGCTTGTCGAGATCCTGAAACGCCAATCAAATATCGTCGCCATGACGGGCGACGGAGTGAATGACGCGCCGGCGCTCAAATGCGCGGATATTGGTATCGCCATGGGTAGCGGCACCGCCGTAGCGAAGGGAGCATCCGACATGGTGCTCGCAGACGACAACTTCAGCAGCATTGTCGAAGCCGTCGCCGAGGGGAGGGCGATTTACAACAACACGAAACAATTCATTCGCTATATGGTGAGCTCGAACATCGGTGAAGTCGTTTGCATTTTCATTGCAGCTGCGCTCGGGTTTCCGGAAACTCTCGTACCGGTGCAACTACTGTGGGTCAACCTTGTCACGGATGGATTGCCCGCCACGGCTCTCGGGTTCAACCGCGCAGATGTAGACATCATGCATCAGCGACCGAGAAGCCCGCATGAACAAATCGTCGATCGATGGTTGTTGATTAGATACGTCATCATTGGCTTCTACGTGGGCATGGCCACTGTCGGATCGTTCGGATGGTGGTTCATGACGTATGAGGGTGGTCCACGACTTACATGGGCTCAGCTCACGAGTGGATCCAACTGCATCGGTGATGCGTGTGAAACGTTCAAAGATCGACATCCCAGCACGATGGCAATGTCAACACTCGTCTTGATTGAGATGTTCAACGCTCTGAACTCTCTGAGCGAGAACAAGTCTCTGCTCACGCACCCGCCGACAACGAACGTGTGGCTCCTCTTCTCCATCGTCTTCAGCATGGGTCTCCACTTCATCATCATGTACGTCCCATCCTTCGCCAAGACGTTCACGATCACGGCTCTGAATTACGATGAGTGGATGGCTGTGTTTTGGTTCTCCATTCCCGTCATATTCATCGACGAGTTCTTGAAGTATATCACTCGCTCGCATCGCACCGCCATAACGTTATGGCTTAAGCGGGGCAGACGTAAGGGCGATCTTCTCCCTCGATCGCGAAGCTCTTCGAGGGCTAACAAGCTCTAGGAGATCATTTCTCGTTTTAGAACAAACATTAATATAGCTCAGAGCTGCCATGCATCGCGTGACTTCATCGCGTCGACCTCTCCCCTTTGAACTCAAACCGTCAACGCGATGCACCGCACTTCACACGCCGACATCTTCCTAGCCCCAACCGAAGCGTCGTCTCAAGTGCGCACGCGTCGAGCGCAATGCGCGACGTCCAGGACGCGTCCCCATCGACGCGCGTCGCCGAGATGCCGTCGAAACACTGCGTGCTCATGCTCAGTGACTTTTTCCTTCCGACGATCGGCGGCGTCGAGCTCCACATCCACGCCCTGGCATCGCGGCTTCGCGCCCGGGGACACAAAGTGGTCGTCTTCACGCACGCCCAGCCCGGACGCGAGGGCGTCGTACGGTGGCTCGCTGGTGGGATCAAGGTGTATCACGTCCCGCGCGTGGTCTTGTACGACAACTGCACGTTTCCAAGCTTTATGGGTAATTTTAAATTGTTTAGAAAGGTGCGGGAGGTTTCGAGCGGTGATTCGCGTAGAAGACATACGTGTTATTCGCGATGACTGACAGCGGGACGGCGCGGCGCAGGTGTGCATTCGAGAGGGCGTCACCATTGTGCACGCGCACCAAGGGTGCACGATGATGCACGAGGGAATTTTGTACGCGCGCACGATGGGAATGAAGTGCGTGTTCACCGATCACTCGCTGTTTGGATTCGCTGACGTCGGAGCGATTCACATGAATAAGCTGTTAGACATGACGCTGTCGGATACGCAGCACGTGATTTGCGTCAGTCACACGGCAAAGGAGAATACAATTTTGCGCAGTGGATACTTGCTCGGCGACGAGCCTGGTTTAGCACCGGATCGCGTTAGTGTGATTCCTAACGCCGTGGACGCCGCGCGATTTAGACCAGATCTCTCGAAGCGGACGAAGGGGCGGATCACCGTGGTCGTCACGTCGAGATTGATGTACAGAAAGGGCGTGCACTTACTGGCGGGCGTCATTCCTTTTGCGTGCGCGAGGCACAAAAATTTAGATTTTCTCATCGCGGGCGACGGATCGATGCGACAGCATCTCGAAAAAGTCATCGATGATGAAAATTTGAGAGGGCGCGTCACCCTTCTCGGACACGTGCCGCACGAACGTGTCCCCGAGGTGCTTCGTCGAGGCGACGTGTTCCTCAACGCATCGCTCACAGAATCCTTCTGCATTGCGATCCTCGAGGCGGCTTCGTGCGGTAATCTCGTCGTTGCTACCGCCGTCGGGGGAGTTCCGGAAGTTCTACCGGATGATGTGATGTTCTTGGCCAAGCCAGACGTGGAATCCATCCTGGACGCCTTGGAGGATTGCCTCGATGCGCTCCCACACGCCGATCCGTGGAAGCTTCACACGCGCGTCTCTGAGCTGTACAACTGGGATGACGTCGCCCGCCGCGTCGAGATCGCGTATGGGCGCGCGTATGAGACGTACGATACGTTCATGGGTCGTTTATATAGGATATACCGCCGTGGTATTATTTTCGGTAAGATGTTATGGTGCGTCTCCGTCGTGAGCTACTTGTGGTGGCGCGCGCTGCAGTGGCTCGAGCCCGAGTTTACGATCGAGCGCGCACTCGAGCTCGCCGACGAGAACGATGCGGAGGAATAGAATGAATCATTCACTAGGTCTATAGCTACAATAGATATGCTAGACACTTCTAGAAGCGCTACTCTGCCGTCCCACCGGCCAACTACCTGTCCTCCATGACTCTTCGCGCTGCCTCCAGAGCGATCGCGATCGTCTCCCCGGAGCACCGAAACCCATCGAAAAAGGACATCCCACCCACCCCGTCTCTCCCCGCGCACGTCATCTGATACCACACGTCCGTCGTGCTCACGCGTTCGATCACGGCGAACGCCTCCGCGCGCTCCGCCGGCGCAAACTTCCGCGACCCCAACACCCGTCCCAAGACGTCCCGCGTCTCGCTCTGCGCCCCGATCGCGCGCTCGAACGTCGCGACCGCCTTCATCGCTCCTCGAAGCGTCATCCGAACCCACAGCGCGCACAGAACGACCCACGACCAAAACGTTTTCGTCCCGAGTCCGCTTCCGCGCGTAATCATCGCGCTCCCGACGAACGCCACGCCGCACGCGCGTCGAAACGCGCGCCAGGCCTCGAACGAAGTGATCTCCACGATCGCTCTCTTCCGTTCTCGATCGACGTCGACGCGAACGACGTGCGCGCGCGCGCGATCGACGCGCTCGACCGTCTCGCCCATCGCGCTCTGACGCATCCGTCGATCGTCATTGATCGACCACCACCGACGATGCGCGCGAGTAACGCGCTCGCGCTCGCGCTCGCGACGTGCGCCGGGATGGTCTCCGTCGCGCACGCGTTCGAGATCGACCTCGTGCACCGCGGAGACGGGAAGTACGACGACATGAAGTGCGTGAGCGAGGACATTCACGCCAACGCCGTGGTGCTCTTTCGCTTTGACGTCGTCGACGCGGGAGATAAGGTGAGCGCGAAGCTGTTCGACGCGCGAGGGAAGGTGGTGTACGAGGTTTCCGACGCCGCGACGGGCTCACACGGGTTCACGAGCGAACACGAGGGCGTGCACAGGGCGTGTTTTTACAAGGCGGATCTCTCGTCGCTGAGCGAGAGCGATAAGACGCAAGAGCTGGCGAAACATCGAGTGCGGGTGGATTGGCGACACGGCGTCGCGGCGAGCGAGTGGGAAAAATTGGCAAAGGCGACGGATCTGGATGCGTTCACGAGGACGTTGCGGGCGCTGGAGGCGGATGTGAGGGAGGTACACGAGGGGATGTTGAAGCTCAGAGCGCTCGAGGCGGACATGCGGGACATGAACGAGGCGACGAACACGAAAGTGGCGATCATGAGCGTGCTCAGTCTGAGCGTGTGCGTCGGGATGGCTTTCTGGCAGATTGTGTACCTGAAGGGATTCTTTCAGAGGAAGAAGTTGCTGTAGTGGGAAGAGGATCGGTTCGTTCGCGCTTCGTCACGTGCGCGATTGGAGTATCAATGCTATTGTTATTATACCAGACTCCAACGACGCGCTAATCGCCCTAACAGTGCTATGTTTTATAATTGAGGTCGGTGAACCATCGCGCCCACCGCCGCTGGACGATTTTCTTCGTCTCCTCGTCGAGCTCGCTAAAGCTGTTCTTCTTGAAGTTTCGCAACGACTCTGAGTAATCTCGCAGTTTAGGCGCGAGCGCGTCCTCAAAGTCGTCCCAACCGAAGTGCTCGTACAGTTTTCGCATCGTTCCCTCGAGATTGGCGTCGAGGTCCTCGAAACGAATTTCGTACAGCGCCTCCGCCGGAAGCTCTGCGGCGTCTCGAATGTACGCGTCGTGCAAAATTTCTCCCTGTTTCAGTATGAACTCCAACACCTGCGCCACCGTGGGCTCTTTGAAATAGCACTGCCAATAGTATTTATCTGCCATGTTCACCGCAGACCTGAAGACGTCGTAGGGGTGTCGAGACATGAAGATGAAGGATGCGCGCGGAAACATCTCGCGCAGCAAGCGCACGCGCGCGGTGTGCACCGGAGACTTTAATAGCAATCGTTTATCCTCCCCTCGCTTGTACTGCAGCTTCTTCACGAACGTCAAAAACGCGGACTTCCATCGTTTGAGCTCGCTCGGCTCGATGGGATACTCCTCGTGATCTTCTCGAAGCTCATAAAACTTTCGAAACCGCTCTTCCTCCGTCATGAACATGATCGCCGCGTACGGACTCGCCCCCCCGCTTAAAATATTCGTCGCCAACTCATCCTCCTGCGGTGAACTCATCGTGAGCTCCATGTTATCCATCGGTCGCGTCTCATCCATCATCAACTCCAGCGCCCCTTTCGTCCACTCGCTCGTCAGGAACCCGTTCGGGAACCCGACGTCGAACGTCGTGCACGTCCCGAACCGTCCCTCATCCATCGCCAGCGTATTATGCGCGTGCGTCGTCCCCGTCCTCGGATGCCCGATGATGAACACCGGATCGTCCCGAATCCGCGTCCGTCGCCATCGCACCCACAGCGCCCCGTCCACGAGCGCCCACACCGCGTTCACCATCGACAGCGTCGCCAAAAACCCCACCCGCACCATCGACCGCGTCCAATCGATCGCGTCTCGGTGTCGCCACAGCATCTCCATCAGGCGCCAGGGCGCGATCCCGCTCGTCGGGTGGTTCTTCACGTGCCACCACGGCGCCGCGCGCGCGATCGCGATCGCGGGCATGGCCCCGGGGACGACGCGCGCGATCGCGGGCGTCGACGACGCGTCACGCACGTCGTCGACGCGTCGCGCCGTGGACGCGCGCGACGACGGGCGTGGCGTCGAGGTCCAAATCCCGCGTCAGCGCGTCCATGCATCACCGACGAGTCATGAACCAAGAACCAAGAACTATGGAGACATGCATCGTCTGGAGCTCGTCGTCTCGCGTGCGTGTCTCTGTGGTTCTTGGTTCATGACTCGTCGGTCACCCCATCCACGACCGGGTGTTTCGACCGCGCGCCCACGCGTTCGCGCGCGATCGCGCGTCGACGCCACCGCGCGACGACCGACGCGCGCGTCGACGAGCGATCGTTCGCGCGCGCGCGATCGCGATCGCGGAGAGACGAAAGGGCGACCGCCGACGTCGTCGATGTCGCCGCGGCGCGGGACGGAGGCGAGCGAGGAGGATGGCTTGGTTGGCCAACACCCAGCGCGCGGAGGATCGCGCGGGACGTGGTCGACGACGGAGCGTCGAGTGCTCGGGGCGCTCGCGGGGGCGCTCGTGGCGTCGTTGGCGGTGAATGCGTCGCAGTACGCGCGTGGGCGCGAGCGGATGCGAGGAGAGGCGGAGCTCGGGGATTCGCGATTCGCGCTCGCGGCGCCGAGGGGTCTGTCGAGAGAGACGCACGCGGAGGCGTGCGGGCACGCGTCGAGGTTTAGCTTGATGTGCGTGGGCGAACGCGAGGAGCGTCGAGGATCGTGGCGATCGTTGGCGCTCTTGGGGCAGGCGGCGCCGGCGCAGCCGGAGAAGTTTGCGCAACTTCCGGCGACGGGGGCGAAGAGATACTGCCGCAAGGACACGTGGCTCCTCTCGTGCCTCTTCTATAAGGCGAACATCAACGACGAGGCCACTGACTGGAAGCGCGTCAAGGAGGAGTGCGACGGTGAGTTTGAGTGCGACGGTATCAACAAATATTGGACGAGCGATTTGTGGCACATCGCGTCGAGCGGAAACGCCGGCGGATGCGACGCCCAGCTCGACGACGGCTCTGGCACCGACGCGAGCGCCTTCTACAAAGAAGGTAGCGCGGGATGGCGACGATTCGGTCCGGAGGGCGATGGATCGTGCAAGGTCGTAAACATGTGGGGTAATCCCGAATGATGGACGCGTCGAGCGTCGAGTGTAAAATTCATAATAACGTCATGGTCATCGTCAAAGTCCCGAGCGTTCGTCCCGTCCATCGTCATCGCGAACGCGCGCGCACGCGCGGCCAATGAGCTAGAATATATGCATCTATTATACTTTCTACTGCTATGGACGACTTTTGGCGTCCGCTCGCTAGTTGTTTTGCGAAAACGTGTGGTTACACTTTGGACACTCGTAGAACACCGTCTGCCCCTCGTCCGCGCTCCGCAACTGCATCGTGTAGAAATTCAGCCCCTTGTGCTTACACTTCGGACACTTCTCGTCCACCGTCGCCCGTTCGCGCGTGACCTCCTCGCCCGCACCCACCTTGGTCCCGTTCGGGTATCGCGCCTCGACGCCGTGATGGAACTTAAACTCCTTCGCCCCACACGAGAGCTCCCGTTCGCCCGCTCCGAACGCTACGACGTCGCGCGCGCATCGTCAGTCTCTCCACGCGTCTTCTCGTCCTCGCGCGCGCGTCGTCGCGCCCACGCCCACGACGCGTCGACGTCACATCACTCCACCGTCCCCGCCGCCGCCGCCGTATCCGTCATCGCATCCGTCGTCGCCACCGCCGCGCACCTTCCTCCAGCGCGTGCGTCTTCCCGCACCCACCGCACGTCACGACATCGGACTGCGTCGACAGGCGCAATCGCGCGCCGCAGCGCGCGCAGAACCCGCTCCCGCGCGCGGACATCGCGCGCGCGTGTGCGGACGCCCGCGCGCTCAAACGCATCGGTCGAGGTCGAAAGGGCGACGCCTTTGGAGTGAAAATCTCGAAAGGGAAGACGCGCCTTTCGCGTGTGACCGTTGCCGAGGAGCGCGACGCGCGCGGTGATGACGACGCCGACGCCGCGCGCGCGGTCGACGGGCGCGACGCGACGGGGGCGAACGACGTCGACGCCGACGCCCAGCGCGATGGGTCGCTTAGAGCTCTTAGGTTGGCTCAATCGCGAGCTGACGTGCGATTTGGCGTCGCTGCGCGATTGCGCGGATTGCGTCGCGTATTGTCAACTCGTGGACGCCCTGCATCCGGGCGCGGTGATCCTGCGCGCGCTCGATTTCAACGCCGTGACGGAGGGAGATAAACAGCGGAACGCGCGAGTTCTTGAGCGAGGGATGCGAGCGTGTGGGATGGAGGCGACGGTTGATTACGACGCGTTGGCGCTCGGAAAGTTCACGGTGCGTCGCGCGACGCGGGACGAAACGCGGTTGGATTGACGAAAGACGGTGGTTTTGCGCGATGGGTAGGAACATAATAATTTACTCAGGTGGTTTTACGCGTACGTGGCGAAGAACGGGGCGGAGGCGTTGGAGCGGTACGACGCGTACGCGGCGCGCGTGAAGGCGCAGCGACACAAGGCGCGCGCGGAGGCGAGAAGACGAGGCGACGGTGTGACGCCGATGAAGACTCCGAGAGAGAGAGATCGACACGATGAGAGAACGATGAGTGTCAGCGAGCGTTCGACGACGATGAGCGAGAGGTTGGTTCCGAACGATCTGAGCGCGCAGACGCCCGAGCCGCGGACGCCGATTTCGACGCCGTACGAAGACGCCGACTCGAGCTTTGAGTTCGCACCCGTCGTGGCGCCGGAAGCGCCTGCGACGCCTCGCGCGCTCACATTTCCGGAAACCCCTGATGTTTCCGCGCGCGCGTCGACCGTCGAACCGTCGTCGATCGAGACGTCGCCGCGGCGTCCGCGCGGGCTCGATCGGTGGGCGACCAAGGCGCGCGCCGCGCAGGAGGCCAAGCTCGCCGCTCAAGAGTCCACGCTCGCGGCTCAAGAGCCCACGCTCGCGGTTCAAGAGCCTACGTCTCCCGAGCGTTCCACCGTCACCGACGAGGGCCTCACCCACGTGCCCGCCCCGCCCGAGACCCCGCCGGTGGAGATCGTCGAGGAAACCGCCACGACGTGTTGCGGCTTCAAGAGCACCTTCAAGCGCACCGTCACCCGTCTCGACGCCTCGCGCTCGCCCACCGCCCTCGTCGCTTAACGTCGAGTGTCCACCGTTCGCCCACGTCGAGTGATTCAACACCACGTCCCCGGTCCATCGTCGCGCCGTCGCCCGTCGCCCGTCGCCGCGCCGCGCCGCGTCCGGGTCCACCCTCGGCGCTTCTCGGGTCGATGCGCATTCCGCCGCACACCGAGGCGCGTCGCCGCGCGCGAGCGATCGAGGTGCGTCACCGACGCGTCGGGCGCGGACGAAGAGACGATCGACGCGCGCGGGCGGACGCGGTGCGACGCGCGAGCGACGCGCGCGCGGGCGATTGGCTCGGCGCCGACGAATCGGCGGTGACGAGACGTCTGGGGAGAATTCGACGTCGTTTCGACGCCGGACGACGGTGGTGCGGGCGTGGAGGCGCGCGGGGGGGCGTTGATGCCGCGGGGACCGGTCCGAGGGTCGGTGGTCGGACGCGAGGGCGCGGTCGAGGGAGGATCGCGTCGCGGGAGATCGAGCGCGCTGGGAAATTCCCGACGTCTGGTGGAATTCGCCCCGACGCCGACGTTTTGGAGGTTCTCAGGGAGACCGCGGTGGGCCTTGGACGGTGGAGAAGAAAATTATCGAGCGTGGACTGACGGAGCGTGACGCGCGCGCGATAGGGACGATCGATCGAACGCGAGAGGGCGACGCGGAGAGACGGACGACGAGTCAGACATGGACGCGGAGGCTTTGCCGGGACGCGCACCCAAAGACGTGCGCGAGCTGGCGGTGAAAGAGAACAAAAACTCGCGTGCGCTGGTTGGAAATGGATCGGATAACTCGACACCGTCGCTGAGTCCGGGCGCGGCGGCGGGTGAGAGTCCGAAGAGCGGCGAGGCGGGCGAAGCGCCGATAGGAGACGAACAGGCGGAGACTGGCGGAGAGCCCCGGGCGGTGGCGCTCGACATTTCGAGCCCAACGGCAGTTGATGTCGAGGTTCCGACGCCTCGGGGTGTGGATCAGATGAGTCCGGACGGTTTGCAGGGAGACTACAGAACGTATAAGGAGGCGGAGTGCCTGTACTGCGGCGACAAGCAAATGTTCAAGGGATGGATCGCGTTCAAGAAGCACACTCTCGCGCTTTGCAAAGCCAAGCCCGTGAACAGGAGTGTTGACGAGCTGAAGAACGATGTCTTAAAGTACTGGAACAATATTCCGAATGTGGACGCGACCGAACTTGCTCAAGCTCTCGCGAACGATGCGGACGCGACCGATGACGAAAGTGAGGAGGACGACGAGGGACCTCGGAGCGGGGAAGTTCGGATTCGCGCGGAAGTCGCGACAGGAAACAACGATATCAGTGATAGTGAAGACGGTGAAGGAGGCAGAGCGGCGGCGAGACGCGAAAACCCGGGGACGTTATTTGACGACGTTTTGAACGCTGACAACCAAAATACGACAAAGCAGGCTTCACAAACCAACCGTAAGCGTCGTCAAGCTGGACGCCCATCAAGGTACACGATCGATGAAGAAGATGACGATCAAGAGTACGATATCATACCCGTCGCCACGCAGGAATATCCTGATGAAATTGCGTGCTCGTGTGGCTTGTGTGGGAGGACGTTCAAAACCGTGAGGGGGCGAAATGTACACGCCAGCCGATGCGCTGGCGTTCGCGTCGAAAATGCGCCGGCTTCGGCGTTTGTAAATGCGAGCTCTGGAGAACATGTTTGCGATAAATGCGGAAAAATGTTCCCAACCTTTGGTGGCCTCAAGTTGCATCGTGTTCGCTGGTGCAAGGGCATGGTGAGCGACAACGGTGCAGATATCGTCTCATCGAAGACTTTGGTGTCATCAGGGTCGCTCAGAGAGATGGAGACGACTAAGAGGGCTCGACGATGCTTATTGCGGCAGTCAGAGGACTGTGATCATGCGAATACAAGCTTCAAGACGTTCAATGCGCTTCAAGAACACATGGAACAGTGTCACGGCGTCCGTGTCGTGCTGCGTGGAAATACGACGGACTCACAGCTGGTACAAGTCCCGCAGATTTTTGATGAAGAAGAAAACGATGAAGAGCAACGCGTGGAAGACGTGCATCCACCAGAGAGTGCGGAATTTATGGTCATTCACGGGAAGCGGAGAGCGTGCACAGAGTGTCAGAAGAAGATGCTTTCCTCGAAGGCCCTCATCGATCATTACCGCAAGGCACACGGCATTTGGGCTTACACGAATGATCGGAATCTGCGCGGGGTGCAACAAGCACAAGCCACACAGGAACCCGACACGATCACGCCAGTAAAACCAGCATCTGATAAAAGAAATGGCTATTTCGTAGAGCCGCGAAAATGCGAGTGCGGAAGGGCGTTCACGTGGCCGCCTGCTTGGGCTGCTCATATCCGGAGATGCAACGTGTGGGCAGCGAATGGATCTGGCGGAAACCCGAGTCAAGTAGCCGCTGGTGTACGCCAAGCACGCGTCATGGAACCTATGAGGGAAGTCGAGCTTGATAGAAGTTGCCGCTACTGCCAAGAGTGCCCCACCGGTGAGTATCGATGCAAGTCTTTCAGGCAGTTGTGCGACCACTACAAGAAGGAGCATAACATTGTGCTCCTTGCGGTTCCCGGAGGTGAAGAATTCGAGGAAGCTGATGAGATGGATGCCGCAACAGATTTGGAAGAAGTAGACGAAACGGAAGCCGGCGAAGTCGATAGTGCAGGAGCGAATGATGTGGAAGTGAACGGTGTCTCGCATGAGCACGCTCAAGTGGAAATGCTCAACGGCCATCTGGACTGCACAGAGTGCGATTTCAGAGGCAAGAATCACAAAGGTTTGAAGGTGCACATGAGGTTGGTGCATAATCTCCAAGTTAAGTCGATCGAACCGCCGATTACGCGACCGTCAAAGCGTCTTCGTGCTGACGGGCCAGTCGATCAAGGTGCTGCTTTTGATGATGACGTTCTCGTGCCAGTGAAGTACACGTCGCAGAGAGACTCTCGGGCTCTTGTTACCGTGACTTCACCCAGCGCGATGATCGTGGCAGAGGCAGGTGATAACGAGCAACTCGTTAAAGCCTTCAACAAGCTTTCACAGGATCATGCGACTTTACTGAAAACTACCGAAACTCTACTTGCTCGCGTGCAAGCGCTTGAGGCGTCTGCGCGCGCGCAAATGCGTGGTGGTGACGCTTCCGCTGAAATACAGCGAATCAACCCACATGAGTACGGCTTCTCCCCGATCGTTACTTTCGGCCGTCACGTGACGCTCTGTGGTGTCACTGCGTCCGACGAAGTCGAACCAACGACCACCGGTCAAATGCGACAGGCGATGGTGAACTTAGTCGAGCTTCTCGTGCAAGCCGGCACGGATGCGATGCACTTGCTAAGCGTCCACGTTTATATCACTGACATCCGAGAACAGTTCAACGTGTCCAAGGTGTGGGATAAGTTTTTCTCTGACTGCGGTATCGATCAAAAAGATCGACCAGTGAGATACATCACACAAACTTTTGCTTCGAAGGACGCAATGCTGAGGGTCGAGCTCGGTGCTCAAGCAGTGCTGCCCACTGGACGTGCGTTGCCACGGGGCGTGCCCAAGCCAAGCGCACTTGCCGTCGAGTGAGAAAGTTCATGTACATTTAGCCCTCGAAAAGATTGATAATGATCGAAAAGATTGACGATGAATAACACAATAATGTTTCTGACAAAATGGCCTAGTCGTTTTGTGCCCGCTCCGCTTTCGACACCGCTGGAGAGATGATCATCGTCATTGAGTTCCCCTCCATGTTCGGCCTGTTCTCGAGCACGCCTACTTCACCGATATCCTCTACGAATCTGGCGAACATTTCTCGTCCGATCTCACGGAAGTCGTTCTCGCGTCCGCGGAACTGACAGATGACTTTGACCTTGTCGCCACCTTCCAAAAACTTCAACGCAGATCTCAATCGAACCTCGTAATCGTGCGTATCGATGTTATATCGCATCTTGAGTTCTTTAAGGTCTACACGAGTCGCCGCCGCCTTCTTTCTCGCCTCTCTGGCGCTCTTTTCTTGCTCATACTTGAACTTTGAGTAGTTCATGATGCGCGCCACCGGCGGGTTGGCGTCAGCGCTCATCACCACCAAGTCCAGTTCCCTCTCCGCCGCAATCTCCAGCGCCTCATCTGTTGACATCACTCCCAACATCTCCTTATCCTCACCCAGCACCCGAAGCTCATCGTACGGGATATCTTCGTTTCTCGGCGGTCCCTGGTCCTTCTGCGGGCGGCCGCCCCGGCCGCGCCCTCGGCCCCCTCGCCCACGGCCGCCGCCGCCGCGTCCGCGTCCACCGCCGCCGCGCCCGCGACCACCGAATCGAGCGACGACGACGCCCGACAGGCGCGCTGGGAGGGATACGCGCGGGGCGACGCCCGGGACGATCGGCTCGGTGACGTATGATGACCTAGCGCTAAGGTTTTGTCTGGCGGGCGCGACGCGCGCGGTGCCTTGGACGAAAGAGCCTACGTTTGCGAGCATGGCACTGTCGTATGTAGTGGAGAGCGCGTCGGGCGGTCGCTAGAGGGCGCCGGCGTCGCGTTCTAAGGATGGCTGGCAAATTGACCAGAAACAGTGCGAGAGCGGCGAGAAGGCAGCGGCGTGATAATCGAGGAGCGAATCTGTGCCGTTACTATTACAAGAAGTGTTTGGAATGGAAAATGTGCACGATGTCGAGGTCGGAATCAATGGTGTTGAGGATTTTGGCATCGCGGATGCGAACGCGCGCGCGACCGGCTTCAATCCTCGACGCGGCGACGAGCCACGTCGATGGCGTGGCGCCGAAGAGCTCACGAGGTATGATCACGCGGCGCGTGATCCACCCGTTCGTTCCGTTCTGATTGATGACGTCGCGGAAGTTCACGCTAGGCGCGGCGGCGGTGAAGCCGAATTGATCAACCGCCTCGGGAAAGCTGCCGAGACGAAGGCCTGAGTCGGTTTCAAAGTCCAAGGCCGCACTTATCGAGCGCACATCATCCGAATCTTCTGACTCGGCGAGCTTCATTTCGTACGAAAGCACGTCGCCCTCTTCGAACGCACGACAGCTCACATCTTCGCGCCACAGCGCGTCGAGGCTTCGTACTTCGTGAGACTCATCGACTGAATCATCGCCAGGAGACAGCAAACGAGAAGCCACGAGCGGATTGGCCACCATATTACGCGCCACGCGTACGAACGCGTCCGTGCGCTCATCTGAATTCAGTCCCAGTGCGCCAAGTCGGCGCATTTCCCGGGTAGCTTGCGATGCGAAACCATCCAGGAGGTTCATCGTGTGGTGCGGCGAGCCGGAACGCTGCGCTTGGCCCGCTACAGCTGAGGCGACGTAATCCACGATCGTACGCACACTTTCCGTCGAAATCGACAAGTCGACTACTCTCTCTTCAATGATGCTCGTGAGCAAAGAAGATGTGTCGCCTCCGACGAGAGCAGCGTGTAGAGTGCGCACGAGTCTTCGTAAACGCGACTTCGCTGTGACTCGCGGAGTTCTACTAACAAAGTCGTCTCCCGGTAAATTGACGTCGAACACGAATAGAAACTCCATAATTTGCAAGCCGAAATGATTGCGAACGATCCTCGCGGCGACGGAATCTCCGGGGAGCGTCGTCTGCGTATGAAACTTAACCACGACCTGCTCAACGCTGGAAGTGTGTTGAGAATGGGCCGGCTCCGCGCCTCCTCGACCGGCGATGCAATAACCTCGACGCTTTGTGCACACGTCTTCTCGCTGCTCTGGCTCGGGTCTGACGTCTCGCTCACCGGTAAATCGCTCGCCTGATTGTTTGTGCACCCACTCGCCACGTGCGCGACCGTCCGCACCAATGTCTCGCTTGTCATAGCGGAATACGTACTCTTCCGTGTTGAAATCATCCTTACCAGCCTTGTCCTCGCGATTTCCGTCGTTGGACCAATCCCCATTCATCGTGTTATCCATCTCCAGACTAACTTTGCCCGTTTCGTCGTACTCGCGACGAAGCGTTTCGCTCGACAGCACCTTATAGGCTCTGACGAGTTCGTTGAATTTCTCCTCAGCCTCCTCTTTATCCTCGACAGGATTCTTGTCAGGATGCAACAATAAAGCTAATTTTCTATAAGCGCGCTTCAAAACTCGAAGCCAATCCTCCCCCTTGGCGTCTTCACGCTTCAATCCTAAAATACTGTACAAATCTTTCTGCCTGTTCGCCTCGCGCGCCTTCTCAATCGCCTCTCTCAACGCATCTATGTCCAACGTCCAAGACGAGCTCAAGGCCTCTAGACCCGCTAAATCTATTGATGCGCCGTCGATATTTGCGCCAAGAACGCGAATCCAGGCCCGCGCATAGTACGAGTTTGCCGTGGCTTCACCGCTGGAGTCGCCGCGCAACATCAACTCCCCCAAGGCGTCCGTGCACGCGTCCAAAGCCCCCGCGAGAGCTCGAGCGGGCGCTTTCATCGTTCCAGATTTCCATCTCGCGCGCTCTCGCTTGCCAAAGACGCGACACGAAGCGACGAGCGCGTCCACTCGAACCTCCTCGATTGTCTCGTTCCTCAACTCGCGCAATGCCTCAAGCGCGACATCCCAATCCCACGCTTCTTCGCCCTCGATCGCCCGACGTCTTCGCTTGAAGATC